AAAGGTTTAGAGATTTTATTATAAAAATATAGATTTATAAAAGAAATATTTTTGACTGCTAAAAGAGGAACGGTCATTAGCCTATTGCAGTCCTTTCCGTGTGGTGACGGATTAAGAATACAGTGTCGCTACCCCTATTCATCCTGTGGGTGTCGTAAGAGCCGACTAAGGGAAAAACTACGCAGAACAATAGCACTGCAGAGAGAAGGAAAACTTGACACAAACCCTATACCAACCCGTCTGGCCATCGTGGTATAGTAGGCCAGAACCCCCTTTCTAAGGAGAGGCCTATGTCCAGCAGTGGACTATTTAAGACTGTTGATGTGACTATTGCAGTCCACTGCTGGACATAGACGTCTCACATTGCACGCCACTTAGATCGATTTTGCTCATCTGCCAGACATCTTGCGCGAATCGTCACTCCACCTGACCTGTGGGCGTCCTGCGCTAATTTAAAAAGAAACAAAAGTATGTCAGGTAGAAATTGAGATTTTTATATACTCATAGCTTTTTTTTCTTTGTTAGAGGGGGCAGACGAGCAGGCGGGTTACCTGAAGGAACGTGGTATATAATGATAGGTTTAATATTTCGGACATCTAACACACTACGCCATCTAATTTCAAACTAAACAGAGCTTGTACTACGAAAGCTAGATTGACTGATAGAATACTTACATACTTTTTTTGTAAATTCATACAAAGTATATAAAGAAAACAAATACTTGCAGAGCATACAAATATTTGGTCCAACCCGGGAATCCGTGACCTCAGAACAGCAGTCGCATAAGCAACCACTGCGCCACCGAGGCAGTGAATGTCTGCAACTCAGGAGTCACAAACGCGTTGCCTTCCTTTTAGGAAGCAGTTCGATATTTTCTTGAAGGTTTGGTGTCGGTCCGGAAATACCGCAGACGATAATTTGTTCCACAGATTGGTTGTGCGAGGCAAAAAGTGTCCCGAAAAGCGCATAGTAGTGGAGCGCCAACTATCCAGGTGATGGGGATGATTTTTTTTATTTAAAATGATAAATTTGAATATTTATTTATTTAGTATTTATTCATATCATTATTATATATGTGTTTCTGTACAGGTTTCTCTTTTTTTAGAGATAAATTTGACGTAGTCTCAGCCGAAAGTCCGGTTTTCAATTTCAAGATATTATCACTAAATTGATACTTTCTAAAAAAATACATTTCTTAATTATCATCTTTATGTAAAAGCATGTACAAAGTTAACCCTCTACTGATAGATATAAAAGAAAATATTAAAACTGAATTTAAAACCCAAAGTAGTTGCATAAAATATTAACTTGGTAAAGGACTTGGCAACTTGTTCTAAGTAAAGAAATTCCCAGTATTCACAAAGGCTCAGTTAACAATGTGTTGGTAACGCATAAATGTGAAAATTTTCTTTGCAACGCCTGTTTTTGCCTTTGTCAGGTTTACTTTGCACCTTTGTAACTCAAATATGAAATGGCTTTTTTATCGGAACGTTTTAGCAGTTTCAAAAGAGAACATTCTAGACATTAATTTCATTCATTTTAAAATTTTATATAATAGCTTTCCTGTTTGCCTGTTGATCTAGTCGTTAGTCATCCTAACTGCTGAACAGAGGTCGTGGGTTTGATTCCCACCCAGGACAAATATGTTATGTGCACGATCATTTATTCTGTGTCTGGGTGTAATTTATCTATAATATGTGTGTATTTAGAAAATACAAATGTGTTTATCAGCAGTCTGGTTACAATAATACAGTTTCTGCATAGTTTGAGATCAGATGTGTGATCAGATCAGTCGGGTGTGAGATGTTTCAAGATATTATTATATCTATGTTTGTATTCAAATAAAAATGAATTGCTGTTCGTTAGTCTCAGTAAAACTCAAAAAACGCTGGACCGATCTGGCTCTTGTTGAACTTAAAATATACGTAAGAGTCTAGGGAAAGTCTAAACGGTGTGTTGAAAGTTTAAAATGTAAAAAAATTAAGAATAGGACTTGATTTTCACTGATTTTTCCTTTCTTTATACAAGCGAGCGAAATAAAATCCACTATAAAAGATTAAGACATACATGATGAAAGAAAAATGAAGTGCAACCAAAACAAGTTTTAATTAAAAATAATTCAACTTACGCAATGTCAATGCAATTCAAATTTTTGTCTATTTTAAGTAAAAATGCAAGTATTGCCTCAGACAGTGGTCAAAATAAGAAGAAAATCCAACTTCACGTAATCATTTCAAATATTCTAAACTCAAAACACGCAACAAAAAAGTAAATAAGTTGCCAACTTCAAAATCTTAAGAACTCACTCAAAAGAACATTCCGACATTTAAAGTAAGAAACGAAATATTCGAAATGGAATATAAAATGGAGAGGCATTCGCGCTTTCCAACTTGTTATACTGAAAACTTGCGAAGAGAATCTTTGGAATAAAAAGATTAAGGTAAAGAAGGATATGCACCTGGACGTTCTCACAGATGCCGGAGTGAAAGTTAGATGATAAGCGATTGAAAAATCGTGTACACTGCAACATGGGCTTTTGGCACATTTGGCATATTGACAAGGGATTCCAAGTGCCCCTTTAGGGTTACCAGTTTAAATAAAATCTCCTTACTCTTAAGGATATATTACATCTAAAGTCTAACGTAGTCATCAAACATCAGAAATATAATTCCTGACACTGAATGAACGCGAAACGTGTTTTCCTTGATATTTAAAATTCACAAAATTAAAATCATTGAATCTAAATGATTTGAATGTAATAATGGCAATACTACTGCTTCTACAATTACGACAATGCGTTTGCTCATGCTCATGCTCAACATTTTAAAGAATTGAAATGGAGGAAATTATATTTGATTTTCAAGATTATATCTATTTATAAGCAGGAACATTATTCTCAGTAGGTATCTCCATTTTCCAGCAATCGCGCACAGACAGGAAGTTGAAATGTTGAATACAAGTATTTAAAGATGACGTTTACAATATTGTTTTTATTGTCGCGGGAGACTTTACAAACAAACATGAAACGGACATAAAGAACATCTAGACTCGGAACAACAATTCGTGGATCACACAAACTGTCGTTCCACGTGGGGATCGAACCCACAACACTCAGCGTAGTAGTAAGGGGCGTGGCGACCGCTTAAATCACTACGCCATCCGTGCAGTCACACTGTTAATTACTTATTCCTTAATTATCACAATCAAGTAGAATCCAGCGTTCATGCTCATTAAACATAAATTGCTAATTATAAAATACATGATCAAATTAATATGTCGGGAATATCTGTTTTATAATACTTTACTGGTATGTTCGTGCATTGTTTAGTGTCTATCAATATTAATATTTCTAATATTAGGTAAATTTACGATTAACTTAGTGATGTCGGAATAAAATCAAAGGAATATGATAGTCATATTATAAACAAAAAATATGTAAAATAATAATAACCTTACACATCTCATATCCAGAACAGAGAAAGAATACTTGAAACAACCCGTCGGGCCAGCGTGGTATAGTAGGCCAAAACCTCCTTTCTAAGGATAGGCCTATGTCCTGCAGTGAACTATTAAAGGCTGTTGATGATTATTATGACGATGGTCCATCGAGCCGTACATTTATACAAAAAATAGTCATACCGACTACCAGTCGAATAGCCGAACTAGTTAAAAAACGTTAGCATTTTTTGCATTTCATTTTCAGCAGTCGACTATTAAAGGCCGATAATGTGTGTTACGGTTACGGTTTCACCCCTGTGTCCAAAAAAGGCGGTACACACACTGAAAATCGCTTCAACCCTTACAACTACTGGGCACTCCAAATTCACACATGAACAAAATCGTACATCCTTAATAACTTGTATCTGTAGGTGTGATTTCGATAAGGGACGGAAGTATGTAACAGGATACCGAGGAGGTGCACGCTATTGATATTTGACCAATGAGGCCGTGTTATGCTAGAAATGATCATGAGATATCAGATGTCACATAGAGTATGCATATGTCACTACTGTCAGCCTCGATTTTTCTTTTTCTCCAGTAAAAGATAAACTTTATTATTATTAGTGAATATATATTTATTCAGGAGTGTTATTGTTTTTTTTTAATCATAATTTTATTATGAATAGATTTTGATATTAAATACAAACACACAAGTGAAAACACAAACACACCCTTTGTATAGTGAATTTGTTTTAAATAAGACAAAATCTACATATTTTATTTAAGATAGGTATCAATCTAATATTTTTTAGATCTCAAAAATGATAATTTCCAATACCAAGTTTTGTTAAAAAAAATATTGCACACACAAACACAGACAATTACAAAACGCAGACAGACAGCAGCATACAGAATGAATGAGGAATTGCTAAAACCTCCCAACTAACAATTTCAGTAAGACTCTTCGATCAAGTGCCAATATCAACATTTTTCGTATGTTCGACTTCAACCAATTAGTTATTTGTAGTAATTCATACATTTTATTACGACTTTCCTAAATTTTTTTTTGGTTGCAGCAGCATTATATTTGAAAAGTGGAATTAACGTGCCATTTTATTTTTAACTTTCTTCTTCTCTGTCGGTCGCTCTTGGCAGAGCGGTCGTGACCTCCCATTGCGGATCTCACCTGGTCGGTCCAGCTCATTGGTGTCCTGCCGCGGCGTCTGGTTCCCTCCACCTTTCCCTGCACTACCAGTCGCTATTCCGCCTAGAGACATGGGCAAAATACGGCAGTATGCGCGACTGTACTGTGGTTGACAGACGCTTTGTGATACCGAGCTCTTATTAACTTTAGTATAACCAAATGACTGTTCCACTATTATTAAACATACTAGCAGAGTAAAATATTGCATGCACTATTAACCATTATTATTACAATCAGTACGTTGTTTGAAATCAGTTTCTTGATTTCATTAGTTTGTTGATTTGACTTTGCTGTCAAATAAATACTATTTATGAGAACTTATGTTTGAAGTGTTTTCCATAGAAAGAGAAGTTCATTAAACAGGTGCTTCAGCCTCCAACTGCAGTTCTTCCAACTTTTGTAGAACTTTCTGTCTCCTTTTTTCCATGGGAGTTTTAAACCACCATGTGTCAGCCGCTTGTTCCTATTCAAAACACTGATCTATTAATATTGTTTTATGACAAATGTAATGTGTAAAACTAATATTGTTTGCTTCCTTGCTCCACAACTTAAAACTGATGAAACTGTGACCAATTTTATGAAGTCTTTGATAAATTTTTTGATATTATATTATATATTTCCCTGTTACATAAACTCTTTAACTCACTTTATAAAAGAGACAAAATTCTCTAATCGACAAAATATTTTTTATGTTTTTTGTTTCTGATATTATTATCTCTGACACTTAAGGACGATCTTATTAAAATCTGATGAACATAATCCACCTCTAAAGGTGAAAGATAAAGAATAAAGAATCGACTGAAAGTAAGAACTGCCTTCAACAGAATGAAGTTTTAACCCCAGTACGAAGAAAATGACCTGTGCTCTACTTATAAGAAACATACCTAATTTAAAGTTGCATTATAAAATGCACAATATTTGTGCTAATAACAACACAAACTCCTATAACCCGACAATCTCGTGCGTGACCGTCCCGCGGGGTGACAGACAGTGGCGGGGGCGAGGTAGCGCGTCATTCTAGCACACGTCTACACAGTCTACACACTATTCCCTTCCCCGCTACACAACCCGCTACCCGCTGACATCTTGAGTACCTCGTCCCCGCCACCGTCTGTCACCCCGCAGGACGGTCGCGCACGACGTTGATGGACTATAGATCGTACGATCATAGAGAATACATACTTGTTCTGCATACACCGGCTCCCTGGCAGCAAGGTGTACGGCTACTTCTGTAGCTGTAAACGCTCTGACGCGTAGTTGAAGCCGTCTTTTTGTCGTGAGTACTGAATCTAAAGCTGCTAGAAGAGTACCTGTAGTAAAATATTGATCGAATATATTAAAATTTATGTTAATGGACAAGTTTCCTGATATTTTTGTCTCCATTATTTGAAAGTTAAGTAACTTGCTACTTCTACATCTATTGTAGACGTAGCAAAATGATCCATTTCTATAAAATAAAAGAAAAAGAAAAAATATGGATAATTTGTTCAATAAGGCAGAAAAAAAGAAAAAGGTAATATTTAAAAGAAAATATTTATTATTATTATTTATTAATCCTGTTGTCAGTAATGGATCTTAGATATATAAATAGGATATAATGAATAAGGTATTTTATTATATAGTTAGTTAAATATTATATTTTTTCTAGCACACGTACCTATAGTATAGGAATCTGAAACTCTCGCCAAGCACGAAAGCTCGAGTCTCGGATTTAAAGCACCAGCCTTGTGCAGTTTGGTTCTCCACATTAGGGAAATGCTTCCGTAATCGGCTCTTGGAATCTGAATGAATTTTTGATAGCATTGGCAGAGTAGTTTTTGCTCTGCATCCCAAGGTGCTTTACTGGTACCCACAAAAATCACACGATCTTCAGAACATATTCCTAGACAAGACAAGAACTTAAGTTAATACTACTTATTCTAGCACTCTTATTTATATCGTTTTATTTATTGTTACCTTTTATAATCTTAACTAAATCTTTCTTTAGTCTCTTTGGATCAGTTTTATCAGTTTTTGGAATTTTTTTCATAAAGGGTTTCTCAGCATCATCCATCCATATTACAGAGGGCTGTAAAAGTCTTGATACCTTCATAACCAAATGTATTAACATTATGAGTCCTGTTTTACCAGGGTATTTGCCGACTATGTTTGCTGGAGTCAAATCAAAGAGCATTGCACCAACTTCTGAGCAAATTGAGTGAACTAACATCTTCTTACCGCTAGCAGATGGTCCTTAAAGCAAAAATATTGATCTATGATGAATTTGTTTAATGTTCATGTTATCTATTTGCATATTAATACTGACACTGAATGATGATGTAATTTCTTGTCTTGTCTTTTTGGTGCAATAGAAAAATAGGATATCCTAGGAAACAATATTTACGTAAATATTTTGTGTTTACAATACACATAAAATTAGCTAATAAATATTCAGTACCTAAAGGCTAAATAATCCATAATAGGATATCTTAGTTCCTCGTTTGAATCAGATTTCGCAGAAATGTGCAAGAATAGCCATGATTTTATATTATTCTTTATATGAACATTACCTGAAATTAGTACAGATCTGATAAATGGTGCGTTATTTCTAACATGTTCCGATCCCAGAGGAAGTATACAGTACTCTTTCACAAGCTGCCTTATATCTCCTAGACATGGGTCAGCTTCTTGACCTTGTTCTCTATACGCAGAACCTACATAACATTTTTCGCCTATAAAGTCATCGATTTTCACTAAGGGATATGGCCGTATTATACCGTTTGTAACAAGCTCTTCAAAGAGTGATTCTGTCGTTCGGTCTGGTGTTAAATCTTTTTCTTTCTTCTTTTTATTTTTCTTACCACCACGACGCACCTAGAACAAGTCTTTATATTACCTTCTAAACACTCTTTTCGTCAATCATTTGATTCAACTTACATTAAATTTGACTAAACCTCAGTTTTATTTATGTTGGAAAATATATCATTAATTGTATGGTTATTTTTATTTAATTTTGGTTTTCCCTTAAAGCAGTATATAACAATTAGATGCTAATGGAAACTTTACAAAAAAATGTCTTTTTGACTAGTGTTGATAGACTTGTCATGTCAATGATTGATTTGAGATGAAATCAGTATGAGATATGAATTTACTTCTCAATAAAAATTTTACTTCATCAACTATACTTTACCTTCTTCTGGGGTTTTTTCGCTTTCTTTCCTTTTTGCGCTCTGTCTCTGTCATATGCAGCCTGGAGTAGTTCAAGTTCACTTCTCATCATCTCATCGACAACATTTCTTATTTCTTGTTCTATTTTCACCATTTTTTCTCTTTCTATCATATCTTTGTAATATCTTTCGTGGGGATTGTCAGCATCATCTTTATATTTCCAAATATCTTCGTATCTAAAAAATTTAACCAGTTTAGTTAAGTACAGTTAAGTTTTAAATTAATAATTTAGTTTTAAATTCACTTATAAAATATATTTATTTAACAAAAGATAAATAATATTCAACACAAAGCTTGGACTAATAGATAGGATTGAGTGAGGCCATGGTATCACACTGTTTGAACCAGCCCATATGTTCAGCTAAAGCTAAAGCTCTCCCGTGATAAATAAAAAAACAAATATACACGAAAAAAAATGCTCTTACTCTTCATTAGCTCCAACCATATTTTTAAGGAAAGCTGAAGTTGTACATTGGTATGTATTAAAATCTTCAGGTTCTTCTTTGGTTTTACCATTTTCCTCAGCTTTGTTATTTTTCTTATCTTTACTTTCTTTACTTCTCTTAGATTCTTTTGATGATACGGGTGAACTTTTACTAAGCTCACTCTCCATGCCAGTACCTAAAGAGTGATTTATAAATATAAAAATATCATTCAGAACACAATGTATAAACTGGCATTTGTTGTAAATTGTTTAAATTATTCAAGTTATTGTGGTAATGTTCTGAATAAAGCCTATTAGAATTATTATGATAAATTCCGTTAGTTTTATATGTTAAATAAAACTTTATTTCAATTGAAATGTGGTTGCAGCGCCATCTGCTGGCCAATAAAAGGAAATTTTAGTAAAATAAGTCATCTAAAGATATGTTAAATTCATTAATATGTTTATCTTGAATACTTACAGAATTACTTTTTAATTATATAATTTATTTGTTGATAAAAGATACTGTAGTTGCTATAACCGTTGTAGAAATCATAAATACAGGATGTCATAGTGAAACGGCTCATTAGACTAGCGATCACATAAGAATAAACAAGTAATTGTGTGTTTTATTGACATGGACTCCGAAAGTGGTAACTCTGACCGAGCGCCGATATTTTGATATGAAATGATATTTCGGACATCTGACACACAACGCCATCTAGCTTCAAACTAAGAAGAGCTTTTACTGTGAAAGTTAGATTGACTGATAGGATACTTTTATACTTTTTTTTTTATTTATTTTTCATATTATACTTAGAAAACACCCAAACTACGAAACAAATATTTGCACTATTAATTGATCAAATAACAATTTAAAGAGAAATGAAATTTGAAAAGCCTAACCTTGTCTACTATACATGGCTCGGCTTCCTCCACTTTCTTCAGAAGGCAGTTCTGGGAACCTTTCTGTTCTATCGTAGTATTCTCGAATCCATCTTCTCAATTCATCACCTATCTGCTCATTTAGTTTCGGTCCATGTTGAGTTCGAAGGTAATCCTCAATTTTGATTAATGCACTTTGATATTCCTCTTCCCTTTCTTTTTGCAATTTATGACGATATTTTTCTACCTATCATAAGATAATTATATATAATACAAATGTAAATACTAACTTAAAGCTATCTGGTTCCATTTTTTTTTTTTTCATTTATTTGATTACAACGTCTTAAAACCAGTTACATTAATCAACAATAGAAATTTCTTAAGAATGTGCTAAAAATTCTATCAAATTAAATTTAAATTCTAAATATAACACACCATAACATAATGTACTGAATATCGAAACTTATTTATTTTATACAAGACTCACAGAAAGTCGACTGTTAAATCATTGTTTTGTGAAATTCATCACCGAATAGATCGCAGTCCGAGTAGGATTTCACGAGGCCATTTAACAGATAATATATAGGTAATTATGGTTACGTGAATTAACGCGCTCCTGGTAGGTATTAAGTACATACCTTTGTCATGGGGCGTGACAGGTATTGAGTACATACCTATGTTTGCAGCAAACATCACAATGTTCGATGTTCGCCGCAAACGTCGCAGCAAACTTAGAGCAATTCGGGTGCTCTATTCCTGCCGTATTCAATGGACACAAGCTTATTTTAATTTGAGTAGAGAAAGCCTATTCCTCTCTCCTGGCCTAGCCCTCAATTCTGGTGTTCTGTGCATGGACTTTTTTTTCAATCAATCAAATCACTTTTAAATTGCATGGAAAATTTAAATTCAAAATTGTTTTTTTTTACCTGGTTCGCTTTTTCAATAGCCTCTGACTCTTTGTATGGTGGTAGTAACATGCCAATTAAGAGTTGTTCCTCTAGTTTTCTTTTCTTAGTGCATCTTCTTGCTATAAATCCTCTCCAAACCTTCTGGATGGCAGTAGCTGCAGATGCAGACATTTCGCCTTTTTGATCTCTTCCTTTTTCTTTCAATAGACGAATTTCTTTCATGAACTGTCCCCTTTTAAAGATATGAATAATTGAATTTTGGTGTGTAAAATCCATTTAATTCATGAATAATTCATAAACGTTTTTATATTTCAAAATATTCATTTGTAACAATTAAGACTGCATTACGGCTTTGTTAATATTTATTCATTGGATATCCAATATTTTAAACATTCATGAGATGAATTTAGAAATGTTTCGGTGCTTAATAATGTTTTAGGGAATATTATGGACTAGCTAATATGTTAACGAATACCTATATTTAAATAAAAATTAAGATGATTCCATTCTTTGAAATGGCTTTAAATTAAATTCTTGTAAATGCTAATACATAAAACATTACTGTGAGTGTTCGAAGTTTGATAGATCTTGTTTAATTCTTGCCCAAGACAATGCCGCAAAGTTGTGTATAAAATCATAATTCTCAAGCAACATATCTTATTTTTTTTATTAATTATGATAGCTGTTCAACGTATTATAAAATGCTCTCCCTTTATTATAAAAAGAAACACGTTCTCATAGCTGTTTAAACCTTTGTTACTATAATAATATTATTTCCTAAAGCCTTTCTAGTAGGTCTAGCAACAAATTCAAGGGTATGTAATATCGATTGATTTTGTTAATTATTAATAACTAGCTAATACCCGCAACTTCGTTCGCTTGGAATTTCAAAAGCTCTGCCTTAGTTTTATAGTACAGTATGCGACTGCAGTCCATGAGGCTTCGGGTTTTATTCCCGGACCGAACAAAATTTTGTACGGTTTTCCTGAGAGGAAAAATAGCCTCAGTTACTTCTTATACAGACAGCTACCTGGTAGTAAAATATTTTCAAAATTGGTCTAGTCGTTTTGAAGATTACCCGGACAAAATGGCAGACAGAAAAACAAAAAATATTTAAACTAGTGGTTAGGCATAGGGACTGTGCAAATAACCATGTAAGCAGGAAAAATAACCGTCTATTTTGAGATTACAATCAAACACTTCAATTTTATTTATTTATATAGGTATATAGAATAAAGATGAGATTGAGACACATATATTTTTCAAACCACACCAAAATACACACCACATACAAACCACATATTATAAATGCCAAGTGTTGAAAAATTTTCTGTTTATGTCAAAAATGTACGTGTTTATTAGTGCATATTAGAAAAACTCTTACCTCAGTCTTCCTTGTCGAGCTCTTTCGTGACTTTGTATTATAATTACAGCTTGTTGTTCAGTCAGAACCAAGGGTTGAGGCTTTGGAGGTTCATATCCTAACTTGCTTAAGGTATCAGTGATGAACTGCCGCCTGCTATTGATTTCTTCTTCTCTTTCTCTGATAAAGAATCGTGGGATGCAAGGTTCTGCTTCAAACGGCGTTACTTGCAGTTTTACTAATGCCTGAACATTAAAGTTTAGCTTAGTTTACAAAATAAAAACAATTTTCTACGATGTTTTAGTTCTAGAAAAATTTACGCCATGTTGATTCATTAAATCATTGTTGTTTATTATGTTAGATCTGTTTATAATCATTCGATTTAATTTGAAGAATATTTGCATCACAAAAATCTTTACGACCTGTTTAAATAAGATGGACATATTTAAGTCTTGGTTTTTAAAGGTTTGGTTTTTTGGTTGTCACCGCATGCTGATTAAAACAATTTAATATTTTACACTTATTAGGACAGTTACTAACGAATCATTAATATATCAGCAAGAAAATAATGGCAGAAAAATTAAAGAAATAATTTAAGACAATTCGTTTTGAAAGCTTATCCTTACTTAATCGACTGTCGGATTCACATGATTAACAAAAAGGAGCACTTTTCTCTCTTTTAACAACTAAATTTAAAATAGAAGGAACTCATTTACGCAACCACACATTTATTAAGAATTAAAGCTAATATCATATATTTATAAACATGAATATATATTATTAGCTAACGAGAATTAAGGCGTTCGTATGCCTGATATCAACATAATAATATACGCGATAGTTTATAAGTTAGTAAAACTAATACAATAGTCTAGTCCCACAAGTTTCTTAAGTTTTTCTAGTATATAATATATAAAGAAAGTCGTTTATAAAATCTTACCTCGTCATCATCAAAAGTGTGATCACATAAGCGCATTTCCACTAGATCATGTTTAATTTCTATCAGCCGTCCTAAACACGCTTCCAAAAGTCTTTTCACTATTAAGCGTTTTTGGGGCTGTAATAATTGATCGTACACTAAATCTAACCTTTTAAGTAATATGGTATACCGTACTCGAAGTTCTAGAAGCAGCGGCAATAGGGTAGATGTATCAGAAGTACCAGCCTCAAAAAGCGCTTCATCGGTTTGGGTTGCTTCGCCTATCAATTCTGATGTCTCGATCAATAGGTCATTGTAGGTTTTGTTCGACATCTTTATAACGTTTACTAAGTTCAGTTAGTTAATTACACTTTGTAGTTCTAAAATGATAGCCTGTTTTTTTATAAAATTAAACTATTTACGTTAAGAATATTGGTTTGATTATTTTCTATTGTAATTAATGGCCATTTGAGGAATGATTAGTAGCTCAAGTGAACTAGCGGTTGAAATCTTATTTAAATTTAACAAAAACTGCTTGTGATAATCCCTCTAGTACTATAATGTTGAGTTCCAAGCACAGTTATTCACATAACACTTCCTTCCTCCGAGTCTTTTTCCCAAAACTAGGTAAGGGACTGCTTTAAGTACACGAAGCGACTGCCATCAGATCTCAACAACTCAAGTACTAGGCGATATTGAAATTCTGTAGAAATACTGTAGTTTAACTTTTTAGGGCTCCAAGTGCCCTTAACGATTGCCACAGATTATTCACATAACACGTTCATTTATATATATTCTGTAGCTCTATAATATTTCATTAACTTTACTCAACACTATAAATTGTATTTCCGAGCACTAAAAAATGGATGTTCGCTTATCGCCGCAACGTACCCAAACTTATCGACAAAACCTGCGTCGCTTGGCACGCTATCAGTACGTCACGGTTGAATTAACTTATTTTTAGTTCAATTATGTTAAAGCTTATTGATGTGTAATAACACCGCGATGTATTATGGTTTTTATAGCTTTCGTTATAATATCGAACGAGGAACTTTCGAACTGGTGTTTTCAATACAATTGTAAATTGAGATGGCCATTTTGTTTTTAGCCGTAATATGTTTAATGAAAGACTCTACCAAACTTAAACATTAATTAGAGTTAGTAAAGAAATAATGGGATTCCTGGATTCTATAATTTTACTGTCTATTTTACGATTATCATAACTTTATGGTGATCATAACATCGTAAGCAATATCTCGCAAATGCATTTGTCTGATTATATGTGCAGGCTTGGACTAAGTAGACATATTTGACTCCCTCGATGGTGTAGTGGTAGCGTATGTGACTACTATGCTGAGGTCTCGGGTTCGATTCCCGGGTCGGACCAAATGTTTGTATTATCTGCAAATATCTCTTTCGGAGTTTATAGAATAATTACATATTTTTTTGTAAATACATACATATTATACGTAGAATAATGTTACAACTTTTTGGTGTAGCTAGTAGTATGATAGATGGGAATGCGGCACAGTAATGTTTTTCATCATCATCATCATCAACAGCCTTTAACAGTCCACTGCTGGACATGGGCCCCTCCTTAGAAATGAGGTTTTGGCCTACTATATATATAAATATATACATATGTGCTATACATATGTACATATGTACTATATACAGATATATATATAATGTTTTTGCCCCAAATAAATCTGAGAAAGGGGTAATTAAACAATGGTGATTTCCATTCAATTCTGATTTGTTAACACAGTTACTAGAGTAACTAGATACGGAACGCCAATTTCCTTGGCACAACATGCGATTAGCAGCATATGGCATGCACATCTTATCCACGTAAGTGGCAGATTTTCCCCGAGGTAATGTTTGAAGGCTGGCTGAGATGTGATAACTGCCACTTTGAACGTGTTTAACTACTTCAAAATGGTATGTGTTTATTATATATAATATATGATCATAATATATGTAATATCCGAACGTAAAATTAATGTTTTGCTATCATAATTATGCTATAAAGAGTAATTTACACTCCCGTCTTAATCCTATGAGATTTTAATGAACAAAACGACTTCATTTCATACTATTAAATGTTTTTTTGCTCATACATCTTTATTAAGATAAACCTTAATAAGGATGCATATGGAATTCAACTGAGCATTACCAAGAAAAGTCGTTTGCTCATCAAAATCTAATAAGTTTGAGATGGAGCGTAAATTACAGTATAAGCTTTTAGAGACGATTTGAACATAAGGTGTGTATACACTAGAGAATTATTGATATTACTACCAACTGAATTTGCGGCATTGTGACTCAAAGTTGCTGAGTGCATCATTTCTTTTTAGATAAACTAGTGGTAAAATGTAACATTGTATTCTTAAGTAAGTAAGATCTTCTGACTTCTCAAGAAAATTTTAACGCTATGAACAGTTTGTTAAAGACAGCTATTACAAGATATGGAAGTCAGAAAGCTGTATTAACTTTAAGTCAACTGGTTCACAATACTGGTCAATTTAGGAAGGATTAGTTTTTCTACTCAAACGACTATTTCTAATTACAATTAATATTTCATTCATATTGACAAGTTCCATTTAAAAAAAATAGCAGTAGCCAAAAGGTGCGCCTGGCTATTTACCTGAGATGATTACTATCCGAAATTTCACCAAAACCAAGGCACTGAGATATTTTTAAGGAAGAGGCCTATTTTTCATAGTAAAAAGTATTTCTATAAAAATTAAACCTACAAGTTACTGCACGGATCGCGTAGTGCTTTGGTACTCTGCGTAGTGGTAAGCGTCACCTCGCCGCTTACTACTACAGTGAGTGTGAGTGTATGTCGGATCACCACATGGGACAACACTTTGTGTGATCCACAAATTGTTGTTCTAAGTCTGGGTATTCTTTGTGCCCGTTTCATGTTTGTTTTTAAAGTCCCCCGCGACACAGGACATATTCATAATGCGGGAGTTTATTTATTTATTTTTTAACTTTTTGCACAAGTACATGCATCGGCGGACTTAATGCCTAAGGCATTCTCTGCCAGTCGACCGATTGGGCGGTGCTGAGAAAGAATGAGGTAGGTGCATTTATGGTAAGGTACAAACGATAGTGGTTTTGTTAAATACCAACTATCTTGGTGTATACGTCGTAATACCACACACATACACATATATATACATATACATACTCATAAATATAAACATATATATATATATATATATATATATATACATACGCATACACATATATATATGAGAAAAATAAAAAGTAAAAAAATTAGCCGATGAACTAGGAGCTCGGTGAATCTGCCATTTCGCTCAGCAATAGCTCTTTCACTTTCGTCTTAAAAGAGTACCGATTTGTAGCCATCCTGACTTCGTGAGGAAGCGCATTCCATAAGAGGACAGCCTGGACGAAGAACGAAGAGCCGACAAACCCAGTGGTGTGAGAAGGACAGAGTAGAAGAAGATTGTTGGCCGAACGAAGGTTTCTGTTGTCCATTTAAGAAAATCAGAAAAAAAAGTATATTTAAAGCACATAGCTGCCAACGCTGTGACAAATTAAGTGAAATCTTAAGTGTTGGGTTTAAAGTTTAATAAGTTTAATTAGTTAAAAATTATAAGTAAAGGTTAATACAAGCATACCTTAAGTAAGATAAACCATTGTACACTGTGCCTTAAACATACCCTATGATTACCCGCGCGCTCCAATGGCCGATCAGTCGATATAAAGCAATTAAGTATATCTTGTTTTTTCACCTGGCTATACTTAAATTAGCCGCCATTGGGCAACACTGGTGGTAAATCCGTTAGTTAAGTCTAATTGTAACATCTTTATATTTACCATCGGGTAGTAATAAGACTAGGCGTAAAGAAAACGGTGATATGTATAAATAATTGTTTACAATAATAATTAATTACTTTTTGAAAAATACTTATAGAAGTGTAACTTTTCACCTATCTCTCGAATTAATATATGTTTGACATATTATTGCTTTATATATTTCCAACAATATTTATAGCTACTAGTGGTGACAGTAAGAAAGAGAGAGAGATAGAAATAATTGGAGAGTGAATTCTCATTCTCATTTCTTATCATTAGATGCGCAACATTGTAAAGATTGCTAATATTTTTAACAAAAATGGGGCAATAAAAATATTTGTGTAAATTTATATTAAATATAAGAACTTTCATTCAATCGTTCATCCCTTATTGTACCCCCTTTTTTTTTGTTTACAGGGTGGAAAATTTCCTCGATTCTCCTGCTCCTCGGGGACTCAGGAGCCAGGAGTATGCGGTGATTCCACTAAAACTATGTTATTTCAGGTCCTCCCCGAATTGGCACCAGGCCCTATCACAGGGGAAAACACTCCCCCTCCCCTCAATCGCGACGTGGAGGCCCAATTGCAATTATTTTACTCCCTTAGGGGTGAAATTTCCAAAATCCTTTCTCAGTGGGTGCTTCATATGTAAAAAGCATCAGCGGACAAAATTTCAAGTTTGTATCATCAGTGGTTTAGGCTCTGCGTTGATGAATTAGTCAGTCAGTACCTTTTTTTTTTTTTTTTTTTTTCCGTGCGGAAATCCCCTCGGATACCACCTATCGGTGGCATGTCGGACTCGAACCGACTAAAACCGCACGCCGTCTCGGGTACTAATAGCCGGGGAACCAGGTATACCCTAGAAAGGAAGTCCCTGGTGCCCCGACATGCCTCGGGTCATCTACAGACGAGTAGACGACCCCCCCCCCCCCCCTAGTCAGTCAGTCCCTGACTGCGACTGACTGACTGATTCATCCGATGGGATTCGACTCCGATGGGACACTATTTTGTATATTTTTAAATGTATTTTGTACATTAATATATTTAAAAATGTAATTTATATGTATATTTAATGTAATAAATAGATTTTTTTTTCTATCTAAACAGTTATGTTGTAACTAATGGACCTTACATAACACTAAAAAAGGCATAAACAATATGTGAAATCTATAATTATAGTACAAATATTTCTACGATACTTTGATGTTTTCGTAACTAGCTTTTTATGTATTTGTACCCGTTGGCTTACGTACGATGTAGGCGTATCTTATAGCCTTTGCTTATAACTTTGCTCCAGTGGTTCTTTAACTTAAATAGATCGACACATTAAAATATATTATCTATACTCATATTGTAAATGTCAGACAACTTGGTCTAACTGTTTGTCAAGTTTTAGCATCTTTAAAACGTAGAATCAACTGTAATAGGTTTACTATAGAGATAAACGAGATCGCGAAGTAAAAAAAATATATATTTCTGCTCTTTGCCCAATATTATAAA